TCTGTCTGTCTGTCTGTCTGTCTGTCTGTCTGTCTGTCTGTCTGTCTGCCTGTCTGTCTGTCTGTCTGTCTGTCTGTCAGTTAGGCCATCTGGTAGTCTGTTTAAATATTTAAATAACAATTAATCCCTTTGCATGAAATTATGGTTATTATAGCTTCAAATTCAACTGTCATTATATTTCTTATCTGAGAATATGGTGGCTTTTTGCGTGTGTGTATTGGGGGAGGAGGGGGGTCTCTTCCCTTGTCTCTCTCTCTCTCTTTCTCTGTGTCTGCCTGCCTCTCTCTCTCCCTCTCTCTGTCTGTCTGTCTGTCTGTCTGTCTGTCTGTCTGTCTGTCTGTCTGTCTGTCTGTCTGTCTGTCTGTCTGTCTGTCTGTCTGTCTGTCTGTCTGTCTGTCTGTCTGTCTGTCTGTCTGTCTGTCTCTGTCTCTCTCTCTCTCTCTCTCTCTCTCTCTCTCTCTCTCTCTCTCTCTCTCTCTCTCTCTCTCTCTACGGATTCTGCAGATCTTCTTAAGTGACCACTTTACACTGGCGATTCGTGCAGTTCTATAAGACACACTAATACATATAAAGTTGTCCATGTGCTAAACATGGGAAGAGAACAGATGTACAGCTCATACATCAGCGACAGGTCGCTCATTGGCTGGCCGACAGACGACTTCGTCGCGGTCGTGTCAGTATTTTGTTCTGTTCCTTTAATCGCATCAACACTGCAGTAGGAGTCCTTTTCATGGCTCTTGGTTGCGTTCAATGTTAAGCCATTTTACTTGGTGCAAGTAACCAAGTCAGAATGTAACTAAAGCCGCTTCGGGAAGGCTGGTTGAACGTGACAATTTTGTTAACAAAACAATGAAGGAATGAGCAGCACAGCTGAACTTTCGCAAATATGAAGCAAATTGCGGTCAGTAAAATAATAGACAGTCTATGTCTGTAAGACAGACACTTGCTGCCAGTGAAAAAAAAATTATCAAAGACACTTAGCAAGCAATATTTGCTGGTGAGACTGCAAAGAAAAGACCTGAGAATTATGCAGACTTTAAACTTTCGCATATGGCAGACAGTATGCGTTAGTTAGAGATTTAAAAAAAAAAAAAAAAAACTATATAAATATGAGGCGTTAACACTATATGATGCCAGTAGATAGTTACGGTAGTAGAAAACTGAAACAGGTTTTAAAGAGTATGAGAGACATTGTGAGACAGCACATGGGCGAAAACAAACAACAGACAGAGAAACAGCAAGACGCCATACGCAAGGAAATAGAGGTGGCTTTATACCAAGTGATGTAGTGATACACTGCAGAGAATCAGCATACACTACGCGGCATAGAAACCTCAAACACTTCATGGCATAGAAACAGAAGACACAACACGAGAGATAAACATCATAGACTACACGAGAGAGAGAGAAACGTCAGACACTATAAAAGAGAAAGACAGCAGAAATTACAATGCATAGATACATCAGACACTACACTAGAGAGAGAAAGAAGCAGCAGACACTATAAAGGCATAGAGGGAGCAGATACTACACGGCATTCAAACAGCAGACATTATTTCTGTGAAATAAGTACAATACAAATGGAAATTATCCATCAAATATCTTTCCTAAATGTTTGCTATATTCCAAACACAGCGTTACGGTCTGATATGTTTGTAATTGTTGTTTTTGTTGTTTGACCCATGCTTGGTTAATATAAACTTCTACAATCTAAGGTTTGAGATGAATTCTGTCCGTATTTCTTAGTTGTGAGTTTCAAGTTGTACCATAGATATGGCCAATGAAGAACCTTATTACGGCTGCCAGTCCGTGGCTTAGGCGTTTCTAGTGTGACTCGAAATTCCAACGTACCGCGATCGAAACCCACTGCTGGCTGCGAGGATTTGTATCGTGGTATGGGACGATGCAGGTCTACCCAGCCTAAAATGGGAACCAGAATGGCTGTCCTGGAAAGTAGAGACGACCAGCATAATACTGACCACATTACCCACCCAGTGTCGATGGTCTGAAAAATATGGGCGCTCTTTCCATATACCTGATGCGCCTAAAGGCGTTTAAAGGGATCTAAGTTGTTCTTAGTAACCTTGTCTCTATAGCGAGGCGAACATGCCATTTTGGGGTGAGAAGCTCTGTTCCCGGCACGGTAACTTCAACTTTCGATTTTCATGTTGTCTAGTGAGTTCTTCTTTCTTCCTACTTCTTTCTATGAGTAATGAATATTGCTTTGCCTGTTTGCTTATTAAAAATATGTGATATTGCTTCGGTCTTACGGGTTCCTACTGTGATTATTTGTGTGAATTATGACAGAGAAACAACAGACTACACAACAGAGAAACAACAGACTACACAACAGAGAACTGCACCACTCTGCAACTACATACATTCCAAAACAAAGAATCTGTACAAACCAGCCATCGGTGACACAAGAGTTAACTGTCTCTGTCAGATAACAGACGATTCACATATTTAAGACAGTATATACTGTAAATCAACAAGAAAATCCCTTATTAAGGCAGTCAGTAAGGGAATAGACAATACACGCCAAGAAAGAAGTAAACAGTTGACTTTACTAGAAATTAGACAATAAAGCATGGGTAGATATCGCTAAGTGTTGCAGAGAAACAGAACAAAGGAATGCATACACAAACATTTCCCATCAACATATTGTTAACACCATTCCAGTAGATTAGCCCACGAAACAACAATAGAGATAAAAGGTTTCTTGCAGGAATTTGTTTTCCCGACAACAATAGCCTACACCATCTCAGCGAATTAATTCCAGCATTTGTCTCCGATAGGAATAGATAATCTGTAAAAAGGGGACAATAGCTAGGCGGGAATGTGCTGGCAGGGAAATGTGCGCGAAATATGATAAGCTGCTTGGGGAAAGTTGTCTTGTTTAGACGTTGTGCTCGTTTCTATACCAGTGTTCCTCAACGCTTTAAACATGTGGCCCACTAAAGCTGGGGGACATTGTTTTGAGGCAACTAACCAACAACATAAAATAAAAACAAAATACCTGTGAGCCAAGATCAGTGTTAAACCATACTCTCTCCAGGATTCGAACCTAACACCTTCGGGCATCCAAGCAAGCGTCTAGGTGATGCCGAGTAGGCGTTATTCATACAAGAGCTTATATAGGAAAAGATAGTTGTACAGAATGTATATATCCAATCTCAGCACATCTCATTTTGACCCACATGTACCTTACAGTGTCGGGGTGAAGTATCAATTTACGGGAAAGAACGCGGTCGTGTGCTTCGTAAATGGGGATTTCCCTCTGTCCACGGTGTGCACGGTCGGCCTACTCTTCGCTTCTCATCTGGTCTGTACATCGTTGCTTGATGTTGTATACCGTCTGCATAATGTTTGATATGTATATGTGAATAAAATGGAAAGCATCAACATTAATATTCAAGAGCTATTATATAGGCGTTCACGAACTAGGATTTAGTGTTGTCTTATGTTCATTAATTAAGTTCATGCAAGCATGAAATAGACCACATCCCCCATTGACTACCAGTTCGCCTATAACAATATTTCTCTTGTATTTATTCTTCCTCTTGGCGTTCACCGGCTATGAACTCCAGTGTAGATTTCTGGTTGTTTGTCCACCTCTAGACTGTAGTTTAGTTCCAGAAATGTTAGTGCATGCACTTCGTAGTGCTTGAGGTACTAGGGTAGCATTTCCACAGCGGGCCGCTTAAAAAAAGACCGTTCTTGTGGCTTTAATATAGAGTTATGAGAGTCACACCGTGAAAGAGATTGAAACTTAACCCTCAATATTCACAAGACAACAATGGTCAAACTGCAGTCAACCTGCACAGTGAAGAGGACACACTTTTTTAATGCTTCATTCAACTCTGCCACTTGCCACGTTGACAACCCTAACATAAGATGACATACTTCAGTCAGTCGTTTCATCAGTCAGTTTCCTATAAACTGTAATTTCACATTCTCTTTAATTTGCTGTTAGCCATCTTTTGAGTTATTCCAAATTGAATTGATCGCTGTGTATTTCTGGATGGGCTAGCGGCAACTAATCCCGTGTTTAGTCCTCACTATTTGTACGATACACTTTTCTTAGATTCGTCCTCTTCTTCTTTGCATTCACTGGCTAGAAACTCTGACAGAAACTACTTTTTTTTTTTTTTTTTTTGTGGTCCAATTGTAGACTTTGGCCTTGTTCTAGGACTTGAGTGTTGCATCATATTCCATGTTATAGATCTGGATTTTTTTTAAATGCAAATTGTTGGTTCACAGCCTGTCAAGCATGTGCTCTCCGATTTGGAAGGGAACGTCGATCCTGTTTATTCTGACCAGGCCCCTGGTAGGAAACCTGTTTCTAGGATCTCCTAGAAGAGTAGACAAGTCTGGACCAGCATCAGTCCTGATCCCGGATCACCGCCAGCTGTGGTTCATTAGATCTGATCTAAATTAGAATAATTTCATCATTTATTACATTGTCGGAACAAAACAAAAAACAAAAACAAAATGGCGTAGTAAACAAAAATTAGCATTTTGTGTGACGTAAATATGTGTGATTGTGTGTGTGTGTGTGTGTGTGTGTGTGTGTTTTATATATATATATATATATATATATATATATATATATATATATATATATATATATATATATATATCAGTGTTTCTACATAAGGATAAGTCGGTAGGAAACTTATTTGTACATGTGAAATTGCTTGAGAATTATGGAGTAATTTGGCAAATTGATTAACCAGTGCTGTCTACTTTTGCTAAAATTGTATCTTTCTGTTTTCACTGTTGCTGCAAACTCCTTATATCATCTAGGTTTGTTTCTTGTTTTTGTCATTGCCCTTGTAAACAATTATAGTCAAATCTTGCATTTTCTCTGAGTGTGTTATCAGTTCAATTCTAAATACTTTGTTTTTCTGTCCACTAACCAGGATTTGCTAGTGTCTGTCACGTGACCTCTGTGATTGAGATCAGAGTGTGCGGATCAAAGCATTCAAGCTGTGGACATGCTGGCTAGAGATTACATCACCAAGATCGTCACGCTCGGCCATCTTGTCATGCTCTGGGATGTCATTCAAGTCAGCGGCGATGGTCCCATAGTGGACACGGATAAGGGCAAGGTTCGAGGCTTTACAGAAGTCATCAACGGAAAGAAAGTAGACACCTTTTACGGCATACCTTATGCCGTTCCACCTCTTGGGGAGCTCCGGTACAGACCACCGGTTCAAAATGAACCATGGAAGGGGATCCTTGATGCCACATTGCAGCCTAATTCTTGTTACCAAATTTACGATCACGTCTTTGGGAATTTTACGGGATCTAACATGTGGAATGCCAATACGCAGTTAAGCGAGGACTGTTTATATCTTAACGTTTGGGTTCCTCGGACTAACCCGCCTTATAAAGATAAAGCCGTCATCGTGTGGATCTACGGTGGTGGCTTCTACAGCGGCTCTAACACCCTAGACATATACCAGGCTTCATATATGGCAGCTGAAAATGATATCATTGTTGTGTCTATGCAATACCGAGTTGGTGCTTTAGGCTTTCTGGTTTTAGACACACCAGAAGCGCCAGGAAATGCTGGTATATGGGACCAGAGAATGGCTTTAGAATGGGTCTCAAGGAATATCCACAATTTTGGTGGTAGCCCTCATAATGTTACATTGATGGGAGAAAGCGCCGGAGCAGTTAGTGTTGGAATATTTCTACTTTGTGATTTATGCAGGGGATATTTTCAGAGAGCCATCCTACAGAGTGGCGCTCCCAATGCCAAGTGGGGAGTGTTGCCCAAAGAAGTCATGAAAAAGAGGTCGGAACTATTCGCTAAGTCCGTCGGCTGCGACCAGGACACTGACCACGACTACCTAGTAAAATGCCTTCGTTCCATAGTTTACAACGCTACCATAGCACTCAAAGAACACGACATCAGTGAAGGGATTATACAATTTCCATTTGTACCAGTCGTCGACGGTGTGCTGCTCCGTCAGGACCCAGCCCAGCTGCTCCGCTCTGGAAATTTTAAGAAAACGCCTCTTCTTTTGGGAAGCAACGAAAATGAAGGGACCTTTTTCATCGTCTACCTTCTTCCACTCTTTAACTTGAAGAATCCCCCCGCTATTTCCGGCAGTACCTACTTGAACTTGATGACCAGTAAAATGTTTAAGTACTATCCTTACTATCCTCAGAAGCTAAATCAGTTTGGCCTAGAGGCAATTATGTTTTACTATAGAGACTGGTTAAATCCTGAAAATTACGATGCACTAAGTAGGTCAATAGATCGAGCGGTCAGTGATTCTTATTTCGTGTGTCCAGTCAACGAGCTGGCCAGAACCTATGCCAAACACAACATGCCAGTCTACTACTACTGGTTCAGTCAAAAGTGGACGGCTAATCCGTGGCCAGACTGGATGGGCGTCTTGCATGCCGACGAGATATGGTATTCGTTAGGACAGGCTCTCAATCAGTCAAACTCTTTCACGGAGGATGAGAGGCAACTCAGTCGGAAGATGATGACTTACTGGAGCAACTTCGCTAAAACTGGGTACGAATTTATTAATAGTTCAAATGTCACTTTTATGTCTTTCTGGATTATAGTCTTTCGTTGTGCTTAGGGATATCTAGGTCACGGCGAATATGACTAGCAATATGACAGAACAGGGATGATTCATCTATTTAAGCTTGTGAATCTACTGAGGAGAAGATCAATCTAGAGAACACGTCGATCTGTCAGCAGTGCCATGAGCATTACCCTTACTAATCACTAACATGACCAACTAAGTGTTATAAATAAAATACACCGTCTGCAATGAGATTTCAGCATCCTAGTAGTATATTGTGTACAGTTTTGGTTCTCAGATAATGAGCTGTTAACATTGTTGTTTCATTGGTTGTATCTCATGATCATTGTACACTTTTTTTTTTTTTTTTTGTAAAAGTCATAAGTTGTTAACCCTTTGGCTCGGTACTATGGATATCGCAACCCCCCGGCCTTGATTCCATGACAGGTACAGTAAATCTGGGAGAAATGTAGCTTTTCTGCCTACTCCCGGGCGTGATCCCGGACCACAAGGAATTTGTCACCCGGTCACCGCGAAAGTCAGGTTTAACCAACTACGCTAGCGAGCCGGGCATTGTACACTCTAAAACTGATGTACGTTGATTTGTTGACTTGTATCTGATAATTATTGTCGTACTCTATCAAACATATGTACTTTGATTTGTTGACTTTTTTCTCGTCAAAATTGTCGTACACTCTCAAACAGATGTTTTATGATTTGCTGACTTTTTTTCTCATCATTGTTATCTTACACTCTCACACAGATGTTCTATGATTTTTCTGACTTTTATCTCATCATTATTGTCGTATACTTTCAAATTTGCTTTTAGCCCAAGAGACAGTAAAAGAAACAAAGATATCGTTAGAATGGCGGTAACAACACATGCAATTAGAAGTATTTAAAAACAAACTCTGCACTGGTTTGGCCGCCTGGCAAGACCAGTTGTAGACCAGCGCCACTGGTTGCAATAGCACACATCATGATAATAGAAACATCAAGAGACAGTGGAAGGCCAAGAAAAAAATGGATAGAGGGCGTTAACTTGTTAAAACTTAACAATATCATCATGCAGCAAACTCACGAGTGCGCACTATCCTATAAATAAAAAGCGATCTTTAGCAGTGGCTGCGACCCCTTACAGTATGCAGCAGAGAAAGTTAAGAGATACGTAGATAGATAGAATCAACATTTGATAAAAGATGTGATCAGCATGATATTTTTATTTCCTGGTACCAATTTAAGGTTGCCTCGATCTGTGACCCCATGTAATTTGTTTAAACACGCAGCCCTGATAATAATCGAACCCTAGACATTCTGACCGATAGTGATTCACTACCGTGGCCTCTGGTGTTAGCAGACAATATAGCTCATTCAATTATACCACCCTCTTGATTCTGCTTCTTCCTTTAATCTCTGCTTCTCACTTTTACATTTATGAACACCATTCAGTAGATTACATGTTTTGTCTAAATCATAAAAGACTGACTACAATCTTGTGAAAATACTTTTCTTACATAATCCATTGTGCCTAACTCATAAGAGACTGGCTACAATCTTGAAATAATACTTTGTATACATTGCCTTTTGTGTCTAACTTATACTAGACTGACTACAATCTTGTGATAATACTTCTCATGCATTATAGGAGGTATATTGTGTCTAAGTCAAGACTGGCTATATTCTTGTAATAATACTTTTCATGCATTACCTATTGTGTCTGACTCATAAAAGACTGACTCCATCGTTGTGATACTATTTTTTATACATTACATATTGTGTCCAACTCATAAAAGACCCACCACATTCTTGTGATAATACTTTTCATACATTACCTATTATGTTTAACTCATAAGGACTGACTACAATCGTGTGACAATATTTTTCAGAGACCCCAACCAGGCTCCCGGTGACCTGGCATTGCCAGAATGGCCCCAGTTTAAAGTCAACGAACAGCAGTACATAAACCTCAGTGTGGCCTCGTTCGCTTCAGGACAACCATGGGGAAAGGGCCCACGAACACAGCAATGTGCGTTCTGGGATGAGTACTTGCCGAAGCTTTTAGCCGAAACTTGTGAGTATCTAGTTTGTGATCATAGTCAAAACGTGTGTCCTCTCTCATTGCCTGTGGTTAAAATATTAAATTCTCTACGATGAATTGTCTGGAATTATGAATTATTGGCATATTCCCGTATACTTTTCATCTTCTGCCGTTTATCCGCGAATGAAAAATAGTCCCTCGGCCAACACACCCCAAATCGTCTTTTTGTTTTATTATTGCATGTAACCCCTCAGCGTCTTGTTAACATCACTGACTCCTCCATGTTTTTTTTTTTTGCCTGTCGTTACTTTTAATGTCTCTGAGGGTTCTAGCGTTATATACTACTGAATTGTTCTTCTCATTTGCGCTGAGCTATCTGAGGCTTACCCTTGCATTACTGTGGCAAATCTCCATGAACTTGCATTGATTTCAAATAAAACGAAAAACCTGTTTTATCTTCGGTATTCCTTTACTTGATAAAGGTAAAAGGTAAAGTCGGAGATGTGAACCAGCGTCATTGCACACGGTTATAAACCATAAGTCATCTGCCACCAGTACGTACAGCTGAAAAGAAACTGTCCGCCTGTGCCGCCGTCCACACGAAACTCCATAGCTACAGCGACGTTCCTCAGTTTACCCCAGAGTGTTAACTCTGTTGCCCATTTTCTAGACGCTGGGTGAGCCCCGGAAACCATCCGGTTTCGAACACTGGCCGAAAGCGAGTGTCCTATCGACTGCGGTAACGCGGCTCCATTACTTGATAAAACTTACCTGCTGTTTAAAATTTACAAGTAATTAGTCTCACTGACGATAATTTATTTTTAACTTGACACCGTAGCTATGTAAGTGTTTGTTAACAGTGATGCTCGCTTTTTGTTTTTGACAAAAATGATTGTGTAAAATTATCATGTGGTTATTACCAATAAGGATGTCTTTTCTGGATTCAAACACCACATTTCAATGTTTACTAATCTTCAAGAACAAACTGTCTTTACCATCAAGGCGTTCTATAAATGTTAAAATATATGTGTGCAGTAAGTTAATACAGATAACAATTCTCAGTCAGGTTTACATTTCGGAGCATCTAATCATTGCCCACTGCGCAATTCTATTAACTGCCTTTTTTTAAATCTCTTTTCTCATTCTTTCGTTCTTTCTTTGTTTTTGTTTGTTTTTCGTTTTTTTTTTTTTTTTAATTTCTTTCTGTCTTTTTTCCTCTTACAATTTTTACATTTCTTATTTTTTCACCCTGAATTTTTTTTTTTTTTTTTTGTTTTGGTCTGTCTTTTCCACACAGTATGAATGCATCTTGATTTCCTCCATTTCTGACATTACCCAAATCAGATTTGTTTAATTTCCATATTAACCTGCTTTGCTTCCTATAATTCCCTTATTAACATGCACGGCTATTAATATTTTTCATGCATCATGATTTCTTCCATTGATGTGTTCATCAAATACAGAGATTTTGAAGAGACCAAATTGAAAAAAAAAGGTTTTAGGAAGAAAAAAAAAATGAGACAAGCACATTATTACCCTCATATGAAGAGATGACCACACACACTAAAGACAACAGTTGAAGCCAGGCGAGAATAGAAAGGATCACAATATCAAGAGATGAAAGACCTGTCATCTGACATTTACGTTGAGCGATGAGGATCTAATGCGGTTAGAATTTCTTGTGGCAGCGGCACACTGTCGATAGATGTCTTTCTATGTTGGGTTTCCACCCCCACCCCCCCCCCCCCAACCCCGGAAAAAAACAAATGTGTTGGTATTCACCATAGAAGTGCACGACACAGTGACTATGCTCAACAGAAAGTGTCTGCTACAGAAGCGCTGAAAAAAATGATGCCTAAACACCCCCCTCCCCCCCCCCTTTCTCTCTCTCTCTCTCTCTCTCTCTCTCTCTCTCTCTCTCTCTCTCTCTCTCTCTCTCTCTCTCTTCCCTAAAAAAAAAAAAAAAAAAAAAGAAAGAAAATTAATCATTAAGTATATGTTCTTAGAACTTTGGGTGAGAACTAAACAGATTGCAGTGGACCAAAAGGGAAAGAACAAACCGCTAGTGTTGGGTGAGACGCACATTGTGAAAACCTGAGAACAATATAATTAGAATGTCTTTTGCACTGGAACCCACAGTGGCGTAGAAATAAAGAAAGACCAACAACACACATGGAAAATGTAGCTAGAGAGTGAAGTTAAAAAGATGGGCAGGACATGGGAGAGCTGCATGTAATAGCGAAATATAGAACGACTTGGCGTGAGTTGGTTGAGGGCCTACGCCCAATGGAGGCTAGAAGGCAGAAGAAGAAGATATGCTCTAATAAGGCATGTGAGATCCCAGTGGTGGAGTCAAAGTCTTTCGATTTGGTCAAACTATTTGCATTTTTGAAATCTGGCTGTCTCATCATCTGAGGCTTTTAGGCGTTGCGAACGCCCTTTGTAATGCCGAGACGCCGTGCTCGATCCCAGCTGCAGGCTATTTGGCAGCAGACAGTATTGAGCTGGTTTTGATAGGGGCATAATCGTTGCGAACAAGCTTTGTAATGCCAGGTTGCCGGGTTAGATTCCAGTGTCGCGCCATGCACTCAGCTTAGTACCTGGGCAACACAAATATAGCCTTTCAGTCTATAAATAGAGGAAAATGCAACAGTCACCGTCTGTCAGAAGCCACATTTCCCAACCTAAAAATAGTGACCGTGCCTATCGTATATTTTGACTGTGGGGATGGAAATATAAACAGCGACACAAATGCGATTTCTGTGCTTTGTTTATAGGAGTTCTGAGTTACTCTCTTTTTCTCTCTTTTGGCATTTAACGCGCTAGCGTAGTTGGTTAAACTTGACTTCGCCGCGACCGGATGACGAACTCCTAGTGGCCTGGGTTCACGCGCCGGGGGTAGGCAGAAAAAGCGATATTTCTCCCAGATTTACGGTATCTATAATTGAATCAAGGACGAAGGGTTGCGTTATCAACAGTATCGAGCCAACGGGTTAACAACTCATAATTTCTAGACATTAAAAAAAAAAATGGTCAGTAATTCTTTAGATCCAAATCCTGATATTTCTGTGAGTCAGTAAATGTACTCCATAGGTTGCGAACGTAGTTTCATAACACTGAATACAGGGTGTCAACTGCAGGCGATATTGAGGTAGACCACTTTGTATTTATTTGGACAAGGGTATGAGCGTCCATTCAAAAAGCAATGACAAACTGCTATCGAGAAACATTGCTCTGTAAAACTATGCACCAGGCAACAAATTCTAGGATTGGTTTGCGACGTATTGTAAAGAATAATAATAATAACAATAATAATAATAATAATAATAATAATAATACACCGTGATCATTATTACAGTTTAAAGATGGCCGGCCCATTTTGGAAATGCACCAAAGAGGGGCAGCGTTGTTTTGTCAGTTTTTATCTGTGATATATATTTATATATAGATATATATATGTGTGTGTGTGTGTGTGTGTGTGTGTGTGTGTGTGTGTGAAGTGTGCGTGCATGTAGCATGTGTGTGTATATACACGTGTTAAGTCAGCGACATAAACTTAATCAGGTGTGTGAACTGAACTTGATTGACTGACTTTCTACCCCACTAGGACATCACACAAGCGATAACCACGCTGATGAAACAATGTGCCACAATGTGGATGAGGATCACCGTGGAGAGCTCCCAGAAACCGCATTCAGCCATTATGCCATATTTATGACCTGGTTATATTGCAGCCCCTGGCAAGAGCCAGGGTGGGGCTTCAAATAACCAAACATTTCATCCTTTAAAGGACGGCAAAAAATATAGGAAGTATAAATCAATGTATTCGATAGTTACACGTTGAGATGAGAGGGTGGAACTAGCTCCCTTCCTCGTCGACTATCCCTGCAGGTAATACCCAGAAAGTTATAACAATAAGGCTACTTCGAGCCTAGAAAGCAGAAAAGGCCTACTACTAGAATATTTCTGCACATATCATGTATTGAGAGGCACTCAAATTTGCTACCGAAGGTGTCGGGCAGTGATTCCCAAACTGTGCGCCGCAGCGCCTGGGAAGCTGTGACTTCAACACATGATCGCCGAGAAATATTCGAATATACACGACTTTTTTAAATTATTTTTTACATACGAGTAGTCCTAATTAGGCTAAAGCGCCATAGAAAAATCCTAATTAAAAAAAAAAAGCGCCGCCACTAAAAAAAGTTTGGAAAACACTAGTGTAGGCGACACATTGTTGGACTCCTATAGGGCTTAGATCAGTTTCATGTGAAAGCTATGAGTTATGAGTTGGATTATTTTCACAGCACTCTGGACACATCTATGGATGTTCAGATTCCCCTCTCAACATATTCATAAGTGTCGCGTGGTTAAGAGTGCCAGTCCTATGCTGATTGACAAGACTTCGAGTGTGTCCGGTGTGCTTCTCATGTGAAAGGTTAAAGAGTTTGAAAAATCGTACGAAACGTTTACTTATATATTCGTCACGCCAGTAAAAAGTAGAAACAATATAACGAGAATATCAACGAATTATTTGACTTTAGCAAAAACACTCTTCAAGACAAACGGAGAGGTAGAATTAATGCCGACAAAGTAAAGAACACGAAGTAAACAAGTAATTTGTTGTACCATAGGGCAGTGGTCTAATACTTTTTTAGGTCATTGACCCTTTATGTATATGGAAAGACGCCAACGCCCCCTTGGGTATACGGCAAGTCACCCACGTCACCTTTAGTGTATGGCAAGATCCCTACGTCCCCTTGGGTATTGCAAGACCCCTATGCCCTCTTGGGTAATGCAAGACCCCCACGCCCCCTTGGGTATATGGCAAAACGCCCACGCCCCCTTGGATAAATAGCAAGAATCTCACGCCCCCATGTGTATCTGGCAAGATCCCTACTTCACTTGCATATATGGCAAGTCGCCCACGCACCCTGAGTATCTGGCAAGATCCCTACTTCACTTGCATTGGCAAGTCGCCAACGCACCCTGAGTATCTGGCAAGATCCCTACTTCACTTGCATATATGGCAAGTCGCCCACGCACCCTGAGTATTTTGTAAGATCCTTGCGTCTCCTTGGGTACGCTGCAGGGAACCCACGCCCCTTGGATATATGGCATAACCCCACGCCCCTTGGGTATATGGCAAGACCCCCACGCCCCTTGGGCATATGGCAAGACCCTCACATCCGCTTGGGTATATGATATTACCCATAGGTCTCCTTGGGTACGCTGCAAGACCCCCTACGTCCCATTGAGTACATGTCAAAATCCCCACGACCTTTTAGGTATATGGCAAGACCCCCTGCCCCCTTTGGTTTATTGCAAGACACTTGCGCCGCATTGGGTATATGGCCACACCCCCCCCCCCCTTTTTTTTCTTCATCATAAAATGAGATTAAAAAGAGGAGGGCAGTAGACTCCATAAAAGAAGCAAACATTAAGTGTAGAGCAGTGACCCTCAACCTTCCTCATGTTGCGACCCTTTAATTTAGTTCCTTCATGTTGTGGCAACCCCCAAACAATTGTTTTCCTTTATAACTTTAATGAATATGTGTTTCCCGATGGTCTGAGGCGAGCCTTGGGAGCTGGTCGTTCGACCCAAAAAAAAAAAAAAGGGTCGACACCGGCAGGTTGAGAACCGCTGATGTGGTCAGAATGAGTTCTTATTCTATAATTAAATGGTGCGAATTATCAATATTAATTATTTTTTTAGCGGTAGATGTACAAACTTGAAACCTCCTTGTGCCCCCCCCCCCCTCCCCGCGCCTTGCAGAGGCTTGTTTAACTGACACCACACCTGTACACATCTACATATGTAATCTCCGTCCTAATGTGGGACGAATTTTTGGGTATTTTGAAGCCTCAATCTAGTTGCTGCCGGGGGTCCCTAATATAACCTAACAGTTAAACAGGGTTTATAGGACCTTTCCACGGATGATCCTTATCCGAATGATTGCACTTTGTATCACCTGGTGTTTATCGGTCAGTGTGATGTCCGAGTGGGGTCAAAAGTCAGTCAGTCAGTCACGCATCTACATCTCCACGAACGCACATTCCGTCATTGTAACTGACTCACAGACCATATTGACACAGCTGGAGAGAGGCATGCAAATACAATTGTATAATATACAATTTTTTACTGGTAAACATTATGTCTTATCTTAGTTTAGTGTTTTAAAAGCTGTAATTTAAAGACTTATATGGTAATATCTGCTAAAATGTATTAGAATGCTCTTATTAGCGTTTACCAACGATCAACACGTTATAGGTGTTTCAGCAAATACGATTGGATAGTTTAAAGTTTCCGCATGCGGAAATTCCTAACATACTACTTCCCGATTGGCTTAACTAACCTTGCTTGAGCACGTGACTTGCTTCCACATTTAGAATGGGGGCAGTAGAAATAGGTAAGTTTTGAGCGTTGTGTCGTTTTTATGTCTCATCGTGAATGTTTCTTTTTCATTTAAATTCTATTTGCAGCATGATATGCATTTGAATGAAGTTCTAAACTAACACGCACGATGCATGATCGCAAAAATATTCTATAATGCCAACTTGACCGTCATATCAAACATGTTTATCTTGCCCGCCAACCCCACCAGTTTAATTATCATTATAGTAGTTACGGGGCTTTTTCCACGCCTTCAGCCATAGAGCATTTAAGAGACCAACCGGCACTTAGTGGGCGATGTTATCAATATCGCAGCGACCGCCTTAACTTCCCAGAAGTTTATCTGGTACCCTCTTAAAGCTGGGTCATTTTTAAAAAATGTCCGGCTTCGTTAGGGCCTGAAACATTACTTTAGGGTCCGCAGGCGAGAGTCTAGACCCTACACCACGGCGGCTCAGTATGGTCATCATAAGCAAACAAAACAACAATACAATTGTGGTATCACATTGATGCTGAGGGAGAACAGTTGTGGTATACACATTGATGCTGAGGGAGAACAGTTGTGGTATCACATTGATGCTGAGGGAGAACAGTTGTGGTATTACATTGATGCTGAGGGAGAACAGTTGTGGTATCACATTGATGCTGAGGGAGAACAGTTGTGGTATCACATTGATGCTGAGGGAGAACAGTTGTGGTATCACATTGATGCTGAGGGAGAACAGTTGTGGTATTACACTGATGCTGAGGGAGAACAGTTGTGGTATTACTCTGATGCTGAGGTAGAGTTCATACTGACTGCTACCTTCTTAAAACCTTCCCAGTTCATTGACAGGGTAAATGAAGAATAAGAAGAAATCCCAGCTGTATTCAACAGTATTGCCAAGCGAAAACTTAAATAGACAGTACAGTAAATAATCGTGATGACTTTAATTTATTCTTGTCAATCAATGAATGGGTGACATTACTTTTAAAGAAATCATTGTAAAGTAAAACAAAAGTGTTTAGGGATTACACGACAATTACAGTGTTACCGGCGATTTGTGTGATTTAGAAATCACAGTTCAACAAACAGTTCATACAGCAAGGATGTCAATTTTTCAATTCTTTCAGTCGCAGACAGTTTTTAATTTAACAATGTCTAAGCGAAATTCTTTTGGTTTCCTAATTAAATGCAACAGTTTTATTGGGGAGGGTTTGATAGACTTGAAAAAAAAAAAAAAAAAAAAAATTGGTTGGAGACAAAAGACATTATCTTAAGGCAAAAGGGGTGAATATACCAGACAAATATGACAGAAGAAAACTCAAGAAAAGTGCACCATGTAAAGAGTTTCCAATGAAGCTGTAGTGAGTTCCCTAGTACTGAAAGAGTTAAAATGATAAGAAAGTAAAAATGTCGACAAAGAAAAGATAGAAGAATATAGGTGGTGAAAAAAACAAAAAGTCACAAAATATTTTGTTTGTTAAAAACACCCCCAAAAAAATCTCATCTATACATTCAGTCATGAAGCAATGTGTACTGTTTATACATTATAAGATTGTGTTTATATCCATTGCGTCTAGATATTGAAGCCGGTCAGTGTCTGTCCGTGTTGAGTTCTTAAATACCGCCTCTCTAGTGGAAGGCGCTGGCATTCTGCCTGTCTAGTGGTGAACACAGCATACTATCTCATGATTAGTATTGGCATACTGTGAGTCCAGTGGTGAATACTAGCATACCATCTGTCCAGTGGTTAATACAGGCACACCTTATTTCCAGTGGTGGATACTGGCATACCATATGTCCAGTGTTGGATTCTGGCATACCATCTGTTTAATGATTGATACTGGCATACCATCTGCCCACTGGTAGATACTGCCACATCTATGTCATTTGATGTACTGCTATACCTTCTGTGAAATGGTAAAAACTGTCCTACTGTCTGTAGATACTGCCACATCTATGTCATGTGATTTACTGCTATACCTTCTGTGAAATGGTAAAAAATGTCCTACTGTCTGTAGATACTGCCACATCTATGTCATGTGATTTACTGCTATACCTTCTGTGAAATGGTAAAAACTGTTCTACTGTCTGTAGATACTGCCACATCTATGTCATGTGATTTACTGCTATACCTTCTGTGAAATGGTAAAAACTGTCCTACTGTCTGTAGATACTGCCACATCTATGTCATGTGATTTACTGCTATACCTTCTGTGAAATGGTGAAAACTGTCCTTCTGTCTGTCATTGGTAGATACTCTCGCACTATCTGCCCAGTAGTATCTACTTGCATACCTTGTGTTCAATGATGGCATACGGGCAGTATAAATGTAGAAAAAGACTGTTTGGCAAAACAGACCGCGAAATGATGTTTTAATGTTGCCCGAACGATTTTATACAGGTGTTTTTTGTTTTTTTCTTAAAAATTTTTTTTTCATGAATCAATGATCAGATTTCATGTTTTCTGCACATATATCCATGTCTTCAGCATAATAATCCATGTCTTCACTATAATATTTCCAAGTTTCTTAACAGTGCTTCACATCTCTAAAGGTTTATTTCTTGTTTTAGTAATTATATTTTACTTCCTGACAATCATATTTCATGTGTTTGCAACAATATTTCATAACTTCAGTCTACAACTATTTTTCAATTTTTCGTAGTCATATTTTATGTACTAACCACTGATATTTCATATTTTCACAACAAAACTGTCTGTCCTCAAAATCATATTTCATGTTTTTACAACAATAACTCACGCCGCCTAAATGAAATGTAATATTTCTCAATTTGTCCTTTACAGCAGACATCAGTGACGTGGAGAGGGAATGGAAAAAACAGTTCCACGAGTGGAAGACTCACTATATTGTCGACTGGAAGACACAGTTTGATAACTTTCTCAGCAGTTACCAGCGGAGGATGGGTAGCTGTGGGGGTGGACGTCCCTAGAGACATCATCAATGGGTTGCAAATATGGCCTCACAGTTTCAGTTCCACTTCTGGATCAAGATGCTCCATGTGACAACACTGACAGAAACCGGACGCAGACTCGCCATGGTTCATGTAATGGCAGCTTTATATCGCTTAACGCAGATATGCAAATTTGTGTACAGATATTAAGGCCCTTGTCAAGAGGAATCTGGTACACCTTGTTTTAGCCAAATCATAATCAAAATATTATAATTCATACTCCAAAATCATGTTTCTCATTTACATATTGAATTTCCATTTTCATCATGAGCAAATGAAAATGTTCGTTTGTTGTATGGCGTGACTGCAGAGGGAATTTGATACATTGACTTAGCATGATTGTCTCCTGTATTTCGTGAAGCTGTTTTTCCTTTAAATTCTAGAATTCTATGAATGTGTTACCTCAAACTCTGATGTTTTTCTGATTTAGAATGATAAATCTTTTACTGAAAGAGTAAACTGAAACAAAAAAAAAATGTCTGTAAACGAGTAACTAATATCTAATATAGGAAACAAAACAGATCAATTAATAGAGGCTAGAACAGAAGGAGATAATAACTTTAAGTGTGGGTATGTGTGTGCGTACGTGCGTGCTCGCGCGTGTGAATGGGAGTGTGTGTGTGTGTTTGTGTGTGTGTGTGTGTGTGTGTGTGTGTGTGTGTGTGTGAAGAGAAAGTTTGTTAATGAAATAATATTTAATAAAGGAAAAACCATCTGGAAGGCAAAATTGCAATATGTAAGATGAGAAATGCTGAAGAAAAGAAAAAAAAAAAAAGAACGGCCAGATTCACTAACAAAGAAAAATGAACAGCTATAGACACAGTAGCGGTAAGTGTTTAAACAGACAATTAAAAAATCAAATGGTTTGGTTACCTGGTCAGAATGGAACCAGGTTAGCCAGCAGCGAGAGTGTAGTACATGACAACAGGGTGCTTTGAGGCAAAAGTTCGACCAGGAAAGACATGGGTGGAGTGAGTAACAGTGACACTCTAGAAATATAGTATAACATTAACAAAGGATAAGCAATTAGCAAAAGACAGGAAACTACATCTAACTCCTCACTTCGACGTTTTGTGGCATAAATAATAGGGCAAAAAAAAAAGAAGACAAGTCCGGGATAGAATGAGTTGAGAGGGAGGAAATGATAAGCTTAACATAATCATTACTGTGTTACTAGTGAATGTTGTTAGGGGAAATATTTGAGCACAAATATCGGACAGTTGAAATGTGCAACTATTCTTCCTTTTCAGCATTTAGACATCTAGAGTTTGATTGCTTCAGTTTTCACACGTCCCACTCATCTGTATAATTAGCTGTCTCTTTCCTGACTATAGATGTATGTATGTCTACTTGTATCTTATCAATCATCGGTCTTCTTGGTCTGCCTAGTGGTTTACTCTCATTTGTCTCAGTTTGTTTTTAGTGTTTTTTTTTTTTTTTTTTTAAATAGTTTTACGAAAAGAGAAAGATATTGAAGAACCAATAACAAATCAAGCAAGATGTACACTAGAGACACAAAGAATTAAATAGCAGATCAATTTTCTTAATTAGGTAGTAATTTTGACAGCGAGTTAAATGCAGAGTATGATATTATGACACTTATATATTAGCAGTTGTAAAAGCCTGCACAAAACATGCAACTCTAAACTGTATGGTTTCAAAACTAAGCTACGTATTTTCAGATCTATTGCAATTAAATTGTAACATATGTACGTGAAAGATAAAGAGAGAGAGGCAGACTGAGAGAGATGATCGCAGGTGGATTGCGACGGTGGCACGGAGGGATATCATCGGTGGAACTGATCCAGAAGACAAGGAACCGAGTTCTGTGGAGTTGCATAAACGCCTATGTCAGTCGGTAGGACACGTGATGTTGATGATAATGACGTGACAGTTGGAGCACCACTATAGATATGGAAAGAAAGTCAAATGCATTCAGAATCAATTTCCTGAGGGAAAATATCAACACAGAATGGGATGAACTCAAAAGTGATGAAAAAATTAGGAGAAAAGTATACGCAACCAGTCGAATCAACATTTATAAGACAGAGAAAATGGCGCTATGTTGGACACATCCTGAGAAGAAACGAGCAGACAATTATCAAAGAGGCATTAAAATGGGCAATAAAAGGATTAAGAATGCGAGGTAGCCGAAAAGAAACCATAAACGAAAACTGATGAGAGAGGCCAAAGCTGCTTGACTGAACTCCATCCATGATGTTGTACTGATTGCACATGATAGAAGGCAAGGGTGGAATCAACTGCGAGTCCTGTGTGACATATAATGGTTTAACAGAACAATGAATCTTCTTCTTCTTCACTTCCTCTTTTACCGCTGTGGGTGTCGATGGAGATATAATGTTCTGTCTCTAGCTCTTCTGGCCGCCTCGACCATAAGCACATCGTACTGTTGTAGGGTTTCTCTGATGTTATCCTTCCATCTTGTTCTTGGTCTACCTCGTGCTCTACATCCTTCTTCCCTTTCCATGTATGCTTTGTATGGTATGGTGTCACAAGGCATTCTCTCTAAGTGGGCAAACCATCTCACTAATGAATTAATGTGAAAATAATGGCAGATTTGAAGCAAACACTCATGGCCATGTTGGAGACTGCAAATTTTGAAAGTATAAATAGAAGATGCAAAGCACTACATACAGAAAAGTAAAGCTCCTAATATTTTTAAAAAAAAATATCACTGTCGAAGACACAGAGGCGACATGTGAACTGGATTGAGAAGTAATGCTAAGTACAAAGACAAAACGAGTTCCAGAGGGCGGAATCAATGTAAGTAGCATTAGTCTGAAGGATATCAATATATTCGTGTATTTGGGGACCTTGATAACTGCAACGTAATGAGGTATTAAATAATTAAATGCAGATTAACCAAGAAAAATCAGCGTTTCACATGAAGAAGAATATCACAACTGTGGTGCATTGTTGTACGCGTGTTCTGTCAGCAGGCTCTGTCATCGTTTCTAGGTGGCAACTTCGAGTCACAGCGTCATCAGTTCAGTTTTCAAGTGTGCGTGTTGTCTAGTCTATCCTCGAGTGTTTATTTTGTTTCTCCACTTACATGAGTGCCATATATTTTGTCTGAATTTATTCCTCGTGCAATTTCTTTGGCCTTAGAGTTGTCAAGAAACTAGCATGCCCGTCTCGAATGTTTTCTACTTCACTTATTATGTATCAACTACTTCTAGAAACTTTAAAAGTTTGACAAATACTGATTTATGGCACCAGTGAACAAACTTAATAGCAATAATTACCTGGCAGAAGGAGTTAACTTGTGAAAACTGGTATAAAAATAGAAACCATGGCATATGTTGAGTCAATGGCATTAGTCAGATAGTTTAATTCTTAAGTCTCGGTGTCATCTTGTCATAGTTATCAACCGTAATCACCTCTCATTTCCTTGTTTCTTCTCTCTTCTTGTTATCCTCTCAGTATAGTCATCTTATCGTGCGTGTCACCTTTCCTTCTTGTCGTCTTCCTGCGTCTCTTGTTTCTGCTGGCTGAAGGAATTATTTTGGGATGCGACGAATATAATATGGACCTATTTTCTCCATCGCCACGCTTTGTAACAGACATTAATTTGTTCATTTATTCGGTATTTTTATTTTTTTTTTTTTGTATCTTTTTTTTTTTTTTTTAAATTATATCACCGCCTTTCCACCTCTTTTATCGCCTTTTAATCTTTTTTGTCAAATTCACGTTTATCTGGTTGTATTACCATTTCTGTTGTTGTCTTTCAGTTTCTAATTTTGTCTTTGCATCTATATTCTCTCCATTCTATTTCCTTACAAATCATATTACTATATTACGATGCCAATAATTCTCCATAGCTCCTCTCTCTCTCTCTCTCTCTCTCTCTCTCTCTCTCTCTCTCTCCACATCTATCTCTATCTGTGTGTACATGTGTGTGTATGTGTTGTGTGTATGTGTATTTGTGCTCTTTCTGTCTCGCATACATTGTTTCATTATCTGTGTCTCTCACACACAAACTCTCTATCTCTTGCTTATCACCGTTCTGTCTCCCCATTTCTTTCCCTTCTCTTTCTCTCTAACTCTGAATCCCTCTCGTTGCATTCTCTAGCTTCCATGTCACACACTGGCTCTTAAATCGCTGCTATCCTCCTATGCTATATTTTCCCTTGCTCTCTCAATAATTGCTTTCTCTCTCTCTCTCTCTCAATATATATATATATATATATATATATATATATATATATATATATATATATATATGCGCGCGCGTGTGTGTGTGTGTATTTCCTCACGTAAATAATCGAGTGGGTGTGCAATCTACTGAAAATTTATTTGAATATATACTTTTCTTGTCGTAGAAAGTCTACAAACTGTATACAACTTTTAATCACTGACTGATAAATGTCACTAACCACCACATAGCGTCATTTGCAATTACTTTAAAGTGACAATTTGCTATATGATACATTTGATCGTTGACCAAAAGACTAATGAGTTTGATGCAGCATTTGATCATTGAATGTGATGTTCATAACTTACGACGAAAGACAATATCAGTCATACATTTACCAAGTATAACATGAAACCATTTACATAAACATGTACACACATATTATGCATTAAATCCCAGTCATAAACAATTAAAATATAATGTATTTCGCTATGTAAATCAAGGCATTGATAAATGACTATAAATCCTAGACAATTAATTAGTAGCCAAAGAATTTCTTGAGGCCTCAGTGATGTGGTTTTACAGCAGAATGTTCAAAATCCATTGAAAAGCCACAGTGAGTAATCCAGATGTTTTGAAAGAGACGAACGCTCGAATACAACTCCTCAAAAACATCAGAAAGGTACAACTGGCATCACTAACCACGTTATCGGTGGGAGAAAGGAATATGTTTCGACAACTGGAAAGATCTATGGCAAGAGAGATGTTGTTGTTGTTATCGATCCAGCGGCGCATGAGCTTTCGCCCTTTGGCCCAATGCCAT